GTAATTAAATTTGAGTTTCAGTTTCAAAACAGCTGTATAAAATATTATCTATCCATGTTGCAATACTTTTCTGCGACTCTTGTTGGTTTGGTAGTTACAGGCAAAAAATAATTTTGACGTAAACAGTTAAAAAATTCATCTGTCTTTCATCGTGATTGATCTCTCCATCCTCTGATCTCAGGTCTGGTGATGTTGGARGGTTTTGTGTATGCTGTGGGAGGTTGGGAGGGCCGGTCACGTCTCGATTTAGTGGAGTGCTACAACCCTCACACCAACTCTTGGCAGTTCACCGAGTCGGTAAAAATGGCCGTCACGAGTCCTGCGGTGGTGGCGCTGGACGGTCTGCTCTATGTTACAGGTAGGCATCGTTCACATGTTCGAATAGTTTTTATTTTTATTTTTCTGCCCTCGCTGATGGCTGTTGTCCTGGTAGGTGGTGCTGTTTTAGAGGATGGTGATGGCACAAACCTCGCACAGGTTTACAATCCAAAAACTGCTACGTGGACCGAGATTGCGCCCATGCAGATCGCTCGCTCTGGTTCAGCCGCTTGTACGCTCAAAGGAAAGATCTATGTTATCGGTAAGAAACTCGGCTTTCGTGCTTTGACATTCATGAATTACTTGAGTCATTTCTCATCAGTTTTTCTTCTGCAGGTGGATGGCACGCCTCAACGGAGAACACAGATAAAGTGGAGTGTTACAATCCCAAGACTAACCAGTGGACCATGTGTGCCCCCATGAAGGAACGACGATACCGACCCGGTGCTGCTGTAGTGGATGCAAAGATCTATGTGTTGGGAGGAGAGGAGGGTTGGGACAGGTGAGCAACCGAACCCAGCCTTTTTTAAAAAAAATATCCAATACAACTCTTCAGTTTAGATTTTATAATGCCAACTGTTCTTTTCATGCAGATATCACGACACTATAGAGAGGTACTGTGAGGAAACGGACACGTGGGAGATTGTCGGGGAGATGCCCACCAGTCGCAGCTGGCTCAGCTGTGTGTCTCTCCAGCTGATGAAGGACGTCCACATAAGCAGTTGTCCTGTCACTCTAAACAACAACTAAAACGCGACGAGAGGAAGGCCTTATGTGGTTATTTGCACTTTTCTCTTTAACAATGTGGTACTAGGCTCAGAGTTGGGAGACTGAGCAGCCTGGAGRGGTTTGAGCTCTTTGCTGGGGTCTAAAGCTCGTCGGTTTTAGTCGGTGATTCCTCGAGGAGCTAGTTTTGGTCGAGTTACTCATTTTGGAGTGGCAGTTGGGATGCTGTTAACCTCATGTTACTGTGACCCTCAGCAGTTGGGACTCTGCCTCTGTATGATGTGAACGTTTGTTTTGTTTTTTTAATGTCCAGACACCTCAGCCTGAAGATGTTCCTCGCCAACATAGTGTATTTTTGTATTATGTGTTGGATTTATGACAAGCTGTCAGAATTTGCTTTTTCTTTTCTTTTTTTTTTCTGACAATACAAAACACATCACAAAAGCTCTGTGGGCCAAAAAGCTATATTGTGAATATTTTTAAAGTTAACCTGTGGAGAAATGTACATGTCTTTTTGTAATTAAATTTTGTGAGTTCTYAATGATTGTCATCCAACCTGTGATATGTTGAATATATTTTTGTAATGTGTTGTCCTTCTTATTTTGGTGAATGTAAGTAGATTATAGTTGTAATAAAGCTTTTATTTACTAATTTTCTTTGTGTTTTGGAAGCCTGAGAGCGTGATCTCAGCAGTGAAGTACAGCGGGGGTAGCATCATGCTGTGGGGCTGTTTTGCTGCAGGTAGGACAGGTGCACTTCAGGGAAAGACTATCATGATCATTTTAAGCCTGATTTAATGTCCAGCAGTAAGAAATAGAAATTAATGTGGTTTTTTTTTATAGTGTATGTAAACACTGGATTCAAGTAAATTCACCATTTAAATTGACTTAAACCATGAGTAAAATGGTAAAACCAGCAAATGATGTACCGGTATGTGTGGACGTATTTTCACATACTATGCTTATGAGGACATTTTGTTACTGTGTGGACATTTGCCTGGTCCCCACAGTGGAAAATCCCCATTTGTGTTTCAGTTTAGGGTAGGGGTCAGGGCTATGCAGTAGAAATTAATGGAAGTTGATGCAAAATCCACACAAGTATAGAGACAAGTGTTTGTGTGTGTGTTAAAGTCAGTGATTTGAGGGAGGAAAAAATACCTAAAAATCAACATTGCAGGTCTGACGTTTGATTTATTCTGAACGCCTCTGCTCCGCTGCATTGTTTGACCTCAGGTTTGTTGCCATGGTAATAATACTGTGATGCAGTTGCCTTTTGAAAAGGCGATAAACATCCTTACCTTCATCCACAATCCTTACATCTTTTGTCAACAAATTTGTCTTTGTGCTCTGTTAACTTTATTATTATAATTATTACTAGATTTCTTATCGTGACAGATCGTGTATTAGTTTAATTGTTTCAAATATTTGATCAAACTTACAAACTGTAGTGTGTTTGTAAAGTAAATGATGGTAAATCATTCAAAAATATGTGAAGAATGAAAAGCAAAACATGGAAGCAAGAAGCAAAACCATTAAACTTTTCAAAACTGTATAAGTGTTTTTTGGTGTAAACATAAACTTGTTGATCTGAAAGCAGGAAGTGTGGTCTGGTGGATGTGAAAGCTGCTCTGCATTAAAACAAACAAAAACTGGTCAATCCTCCATCCAGTCTTCACCAAACCAAAAAGGAACTGTTTCATTCATTAGCCAGTTGGGGGACCCAAAAGCAAACACAAATATTAATTTTGGGGTGAGAGTTGTAGAGAGTCTCATWTCAGCAACAAAGAATAAAAATAAAATCATTCTGTATTGAACCATGAGGTTTTATTTGTGGATAATCTACTTTGTGTCTTGATCTAGACAGGCGTTGACTGTCAGGTAGGAGAATTTAGTATTTTAAATGTTATTTTTGTACCCAACACTCAGTGAGTCTAAATYAAAGGCAAATGGGTTTTACCTCATTTGTAAGGACGCCTCTCATAAAAGGTGAAACAAATTCAAGCATCACTCAGGATGATTGTTAATATGACTAAGGAGCAAATATCTCAGGGCTAAAATTCAAATGATTCATTTTTTGAGGTAAACGTCTCAACGCCTTTTGCTTTGAGACATGTTGAATATTAAATTATTACATCAAATAATCTGGAAAGAGCAAATCCTTGGTAATTTGTAAATCAKTAATGTGTATGTCAGTGGGCTGCTTCAGTTTATTTTGACTCATTATAGTAACTTCATTTTTTTAAACAGAAACTTCATTTAAAACAGTGCTTCAGGGCACAGTCTACAAATCAAACTGCCTGAGGATTGTTTATTCAGAAAAAGGTTGCTGATGAATATGAGATTGTGTTTCTTTGCTACAGTTTGAGTTGTTCTGTTAGCAGATCAGGCTCATGTTGTATATTTTGTCAGGTTTGTTCAAAGCAGCATGCACCTCCARAACCTTGTCAGATCCCCAATCCTGCAATTTCAGAACTTCACATCAGCATATCTGGAAAACTGCTTGAGTAAACCTTTTTCAAATCTTATCAATAGACTTAGTTCAGTATTACCTTTTAATATTTAAAATTTACAGTTTGCAGTTATATTTTTTAATTGTTACATTTCGGGGTTTTCAGGAGTTTTATTGTCATATGCACAGCAGTTACACTGTACAATGAAATTCTTACTTTGCAGTTCCTCCATTTACCGACAGTGCGAGAGATTAAAAATAAAGTACAATAGAGTATAAAGGTAGAGTGAACAGAATTATAGACCAGTATTTACAGTTTTTACAGTGTTTATAGACAAGTAGCAGCAGAATATGTGGTGCAAAAACTGAGTCTAATGGCCAATGAGTTATAATGACCTGAAGATTGAATATTATCAATTGTATTGAGAATTGACTATTGTACTTTTCTATTGTATTTGAAAAGCTTTTTTAATTTGATTATTTAATATTGTAAAATGTTGTGCTTTCTATTGATATGTATGGAAGCCCATTTCCGCCACCCTGATAAAAAATAAAAC